TGTGGATGAGGTATATGATAGAAGGAATAGGGTATAATCGCACACTCTTCCATTCTGTGGTCATTTTGAAGGAGGGGACACCCGCAACTCTCTCTCCAAAGCAGAGCACTAGATACAAAAAGCTGCAATTTAAAAGTATTAAATTAATGATAAAGGATAAAGAACATCATATAATTCAATTATAAAGGTTCACCATTCACCCTGACGAACAAATAGATCTCTTTTACAACCCCACTCCCAAAAAAAAAACACATATCCTTTCCCTTTTGTATAGCTAAATAGGTAACCAAATTGAAAATAGTTCATAGTAATCACTTTTTGCTGTTTCTTACACATCATACATAAGATTTAGCGGAATACTTAGTACCTTGAAAACTTCAGCAAGAAACGGAACAGTTGCGTAGTCATATTTATATCCCCCATTACTCTCTGACAGTGTCGTCAAAATTCCCTGCCGTGTAATATAAAAATCAGAACTAACGAGGTTAGAGATCATAAATGCATAAAAACCTTAACCTTAATCTTCCATTTATGTTTTCTTACAATTATTACTATCAAAACCTCTAAATTTCAAGATGATGATGATTGAGATTCCACACACAGCCAATAACTACGTCAAAGTTAAAAGTTGAGAAAAATTAGGGATTTAGTTAGGGTTAGAGACAGACCTGAGAGCTGGTGAGGACGGTGAGAAGCGCAGCGACAGCGTACCACTTCATATCCTACACTAACATTTACTCCACAGGAATTGTACATCTGGGAGAATTTCCAGAGTCCAAACTGTCATTGCCACTTTCATTTTTCTTCATATATTCGTGACGATACCCTTAGTTTTCAAATATTTACGGAAACCCCCTTTTTTCAATTGCAATTTTTATTTTCATCTATATGTATAATAGAGGAGTTTGTTGAGGTAATAGCGGGAGAGTGGTGGGTTGTGGTTGCGCTGCTAGGTGTTAGGACTCTATTATGTCGTGAGAGAGATGGTCGTTGGGGCTTTGATATGTCACAAGAGAGGGAGTGTGGGGTCAACTTTAGGGGAAGAATGAGTCTTTAAGTTTAAGCATGGTCTTGGGTCTTGGGTTTGGGTCAATACGTAATATGATGGTAAAATAGTCTTTTTGTTGATGTCCTCAACGGTGATCATTTAATGGGATTTCAGCGTAATTTTTGAACCATGAAAGGTATTTAAGCAATAAACTCAAAAGTTTAGGAGTGTGAGTATAATTTATCCGAAAACAAACTACTCCCGGTAAATATGTCTAATTTTTTAGCCCTTCATGTCGGCCTCCGTAGACGGAAAATGGCGAAGCACTCACTTGACAGCTGACATCGAAATAAACTACACATATAACCTGACTATTATGTTAACTAAATTATTAATTTTTTTTTTATTAATTGAACCTTAAATTTTCTAATTTTATTAATTAAATATTTTATTTTTTTGTGACAGAAGAATAAAATTAAAAAATTTAAAGACTCAATTAATACTAAAAAAAATTAAAATCTTAATTGACGTAAAAATCATAATTTTAATATAATGTAGTTTACTCTAATAATAATAAAGCATAGTGCAGCAGGATCGACAGGGTTGACAGAGCGCTCTGTTGCCGACGAAGAGTAATCAGGCGAGTTCATCCACGAGTTCCGGCGAAGTTCCGATGACAAATTACTATTGGTATCGAATTCTACTGTCTAATATTTACAGAAAAATCCATCATCGTAGTTTATTTTTTGGCACAATTACGACTTGACGAAACATATTATAGAGGGAATGAGTTTAGGGAGGGTATTTAGTTTGGGAATTTGTGTTCACAAGAATATTATTTTGGTCAAAGAATCGTCTTGGGAGGGGGTGTTTGTTTGGGAATTTGATTTAAGAATGTATTATTTTTGTTTTGGTAAAAAAAAATTGATTAATGTTTGAGATAAGAGCATCATTTTGTCTGAAATTTGAATTGACCCCTGTCTGTGATGGATAACTTTCTGCTTAACGTAGTGCCACCCTAAATAAAAGTAAAGCCAGGAAACTCGCGGGAACTAAACATATTGAACCGCACACGAAGAGGGGACTTCTAACATTCAAGCTGCCAAGTGTTGGGCCATAAAGAAATTCTCATTTTTTTTTCTTGGAAAACATTGGTATTTCATCCATTTTCTGCGAATTCAGACATCATCCAAGGGGGGTCAAAAAAGTTTCCTCTTGTGATCAATCCAGAGTTGTATGATAATGATATCGATTTGATTTTTATGAAAATCGCTGTCAGTTTCATTACCCAGTGTTCGTTTCATTGTTCTTCGGATGGTGGTCGAGGAATTTTCAAGAAATTTTGATGAAATTCATTGAGGTTCATGAGTGCCTGAGGAAAATTAGCAGTTTCTCTGAGAACCGTTCATGGGTCATTTTTCTTTTTGATTGAAGACACTGTTATCTGAACAAAGATTTCTCGGATTGATCTTGGTTTGACGGAGTCTATTTGGAGACCTTTTACTATCTCCATATGCTTTTGGCCATCATTCCCTGGTGAGTATCAAGTATCAACCCAAAAAAAAAAAGGAAAATGTTGGTTATTGCCAATTTTTGTTGTTACCTTGCAATCATGTCTCTCTTCATTTGTTGAATAATCTTGAAATCAGTGATACCCATTTTCAGAGTTTTGTTCTGTTATCTAGGGATGGAGCAGTTCCGGCAGGTTGGAGAGGTTGTCGGAAGTTTAAACGCTTTGATGGTATTCCAAGATGATATACAAATTAACCGTAGGCAGTGCTGTTTGTTATTTGATATGCTCATTTTTGCATACAAAACAATAGCGGAGGAGATGCAACAAAACCTGAGATTTGAAGAGAAAAACATAAAATGGAAAATTATTGAACAACCATTAACAGAGCTCCATAGGATATTCAAAGAAGGAGAAGGATACATCAGACAATGCCTGGAAACAAAAGACTGGTGGGCTAAAGCTGTTATGCTCCATCAAAACACAGACTGTGTCGAGTTTCACATCCACAACTTGCTCGGCTGCATTCCCATTGTCATCGAAGCAATTGAAATAGCTGGAGAAACATCAAGTTGGGACCATGATGAGATGCAAAAGAAGAGAGTGATATACTCGATGAAATACCAAAAAGAATTTAGAGACCCTAAACTGTTCCAATGGAGATTCGGAAAGCAGTATTTGGTATCTGAGGATTTTTGCACTCGATTAGATACAGTTTGGGATGAAGATAGATGGATTCTGCTAAACAAAATCCGAGAGAAAAGAAAAGCAGGTACAGTAAATTCAACAAAGCAAGACCTCCGGCTCATGGATCTTCTGTTCAAAAACTTGAATGAATCAGAGGTATTGAATGGCAAACTCTTGTCATGTTCAATCTTAGTGGGTTCAAAGGACTACCAGGTTAAGAGGCGGTTAGGAGGTGGCAGCCAATACAAGGAAATCCAATGGCTGGGTGAGAGCTTTGCTCTAAGACACTTTTTTGGGGACATTGAACCACTGATTGCTGAGATTTCTCAAGACCTCTCTTTGTCACACCCTAATATAATGCACACCTTCTGTGGGTTTACTGATGAGGAAAAGAAAGAGTGTTTTCTCGTTATGGAACTCATGAATCGAGATCTGTCGTGTTATATTAAAGAGATTTGTGGTCCGAGGAAGAGAATTCCATTCTCTCTTCCTGTTGCAGTTGACCTTATGCTTCAGATTGCAAGAGGAATGGAATATCTCCACTCAAAGAACACATATCACGGAGATTTAAACCCTTCAAACATCCTTCTGAAAGCAAGAAACAGCTCCTCAGAAGGATATTTACTTGCAAAAGTTTCAGGATTCAGTCTATCATCCTCCATTCGGCTCACACAAAAATCACCTCCAAATCAGAATGGAACATTCCAATTCATCTGGTATGCTCCTGAAGTTCTAGCTGAGCAAGAAAATTTGGGAAGTATTGGAAAGTCCAACTACACAGAAAAGTCCGATGTGTACAGCTTTGGGATGATTTGCTTTGAGCTTTTAACAGGCAAAGTCCCTTTTGAGGATGGTCATCTCCAAGGAGATACAATGAGCAGAAACATACGGGCGGGGGAGAGGCCACTGTTCCCTTTTCATTCACCGAAATTCTTAACAAACTTAACAAAAAAGTGCTGGCATAGTGATCCCAATCAAAGACCAAATTTCTCGTCTATTTGTAGGATTCTTCGCTACATAACACGTTACTTAGTGATGAACCCTGATCACTGCCAGCCAGAACCACCAATGCCACTAGTAGATTACTGTGACATTGAGGCAGGGCTTTTCAAGAACTTCCCCTCCTGGAGGAATTCAGATTCGTTGCTGATTTCACAAATTCCATTTCAGATGTTTGCTTATAGAGCATTGGAGAAAGAGAAATTAAACACAAGTCAGAGAGAAAATTCTGAATCAGGAAGTGATGGAGCTTCAGCTTGTGGGGAAGAGAATGTCATTGCAGATGACCCATTGCCATCGCCAACTGAAAAAAAGTATTTGGTATCTCCAGAAGCTATGAACAAGAAACTGCCCTCAAGGAAATCTGCAGACCCGAAAGCCAACAAACAGCCAGGTCACATATTCTCTCTGAAAATTACTGCGCATGCCAGTTAATTATTGCTAGGAGTCTATGCCTAAAGCATAAAAAACTTCAAATATAGTTTACAAAACATTATTTATCAACAATACAGGGATTTGGGGCACAATTTGAACCATTCATCAACAGCATATAGAACGATATTTATAAATGCTTGTCCATTTCGTTGCTTGTGTTTCTAAAGCATGTAGGAGTTAACAATAAGTAACATTAAATCCTCGGCAGATGCATTAGACATGAGCATTTTCCTGTATTTTTTATGCTTACATTCAATTAACAGCATCCTTTTTTTTTTGTCCTGAATAACCAATATGATTCCTTTCCTACATCAAACATTACATTCAATCTGTTTGCAACATGCCCAGATAGCCGAAGCCACCATTTGAATCACTATAATTGACCCCAATTGAAAGCAGCAAGACTTACTATTGGAAAAACAAGTAATAAACTTTTGTGTTGTGTCATGTCATGTCAACTCAACTTCATATCGCATCAAATCTTGTTCAAGCAATAGTAATACCCAATCTATCTGTAGTCTGCATTTCGTTTTGTTTTTGTAGTGTATACGTTATGTTTAGCTGGGTTGACCCATTTATTAATTGAGTTTTCATAGATTCACCCGTTATTTTGTTTTCATTTTGTAACGTGCTCATGAATTGTATTTGGAATTGCAAGGCCAACTTGTATTGATTGGCAAAGCAATGAGAAGAATAGCAAAACAAAAGATTCAGTAATGCAATTCCTTAATGAACTAACACTGCTTTTATGGGTTGGATTTGACAGGGACGCCCAAAGCACGTTCAGTTAGACCTCCCCAAATGACTAATTTCGGTCGCAGTATGAGGATGAAATCTGAAAGCCAGCTGATGTTGATGAGTCCAAAGACACGGCGACTATCAGGTCATATGTCAGATTCCGAGCTCTCCTAAGCATGCGTCAATATACCAAGACCACAAGAGTTTTGACCCCAGTTGAACTACAGAGCCAAGACCAGTGGCTTTCTGGTTACCAATATCAGTGTCAATAAACCACAGATCCTGATATAGCATACCATATGCAGGTAAAGCTATGTATATCTGACTCTCTTCAGATCTTGTAATGATCATAGACTCGTACATTGGGCCATCCTTAAGGTTTAGATTACACTGACCGGATGCTTGTTGAAACCATAGTGGAGTTGCTTGTGCTGAACCACAATTAGAAAATTTGATGTCCTTCTTTCTCAAGTCCTCTTATTGTCTAATTCTATTGTGCATATATTTGAGGACGGTCTTGAAAGTTGGTAAGATTGTTCTATTGTAATTTACGATCATGGGATTGGGACCAAGACATGTGGAATAAGATTGTGTACATATATTCTTTCCCAATCTACGCACTTGTTGAAGTGGTTGTTGCAGAAATGGCGCTCATCCCTCCACATCAAATACTTGAGTTTCTAATTTCCATGTGGTTATTAGCGACCGTAACTATAACGGTATTAAGGTAACAAAATTTTTTGTTGAAGGTAAGTTCTGACTTGCATGAAAGGTATAACAATTTGCATACTGTCTCAAAAAGAAATTTGGTGAAATTAACATGTCTTTGAAAATGCGAACTAGTTGCACTTGGACAAAAAGACCCAATGAAACTCCATTGTTCCTTGAGAATGACCTTGGGCCATTCTTGTGCACCTTAGGTGGAAGGCATAGAAGACCTCCTTCCGAGGGGGCCCGAGCCATCATTGAAATACCACTATAAAAATGTTAGAATTCTAACCTTATGTTAAGAGCTATTAGCTAAGCGATCAGTTGCATTTCATCTCCTTGTTGGTCTATCAAACTATCTATCATTTTCTCTTTTAGTCGAGTGGCTTTGCCATATGAAATTGTACACGACCAATAATCTAAATATGACATAAATACAAAATCGTTGGATATAAACTTGATTGTAATAGATTTGGGTGATAACCAAAGTAACCAATCAAACTCATTTAATAAATCAATAATAATTCAATTATATAAAATTATAAATGAGTTAAGTATAAGTCAAATAAAGTTTAATAAAATACGATTTAAACACGATATAAACTTACACAATATGATCCATCACGATTATGAAAGCAACAAACTCGAATGGTCCAAACAATATAGGCTGTTCGGTGGAAGCACCCAATGTAAATTGCAACCAAATGGAGAGGCCCAAATTTGTTCCACAATTAACAACCAATAGAACTAACTCAACGGTCAATTCCCTAATTTTGCTGCGAATATCTATTCCATACAATTGTCATAAACATATTTTATCTCTAAATTTCGAAAAAAAAAAAATACACAGGAAAAGAACACCACCACCATTACTCTTCCTATCTATCAGTCACTGTACACCATTGGTTTTAAAGCTTGAATGTTTGTAGCCCTCTGAAATTGAGCCTACGACTTTCCAAGAAAGTGAGCCGACTATCTTTGCCCCTCTATCTCTCTCTCTTTGTGGGAATATTTGATTGGGGAACAAGTAAGGTTTGACTGTCCTATTTGAATCAATTAAGTCCCCCAATCTGAGGAAGAACTGAGGAGGTTGAGATTTATATATAGCTCTAGTCTTGATTTTCTCAATCATAGCTCTCTGCAGCAACCCAAAAGTTAAATACTCCTTGACTTTCTTCTCCTGTTTCGGTTTCGATTCATCTCTTATCAAGATAACTAGGTATTAAGGGTAATTGGTCTTCTTTTGACACCAATTATCTTCTACTCATGTTCTTCATGGATTGCACTAATTTTTTTGCTTATTTGCTAATAAACCCTCATCAAGAACTGATTGAAACATTTTTCTTGATTCAATTTTTTTTTTGGAAAATTTTCTTTTTGGTGTTTTATTTAGAATTTATTGATGATTGCTGTGCGTGCTTTTGTATGTATCTCTACTTATCTATTTATTTTATGGTAGATTTGATATAGGTGAGATGACAGAATCTGTTATAGACATGGACCAGAAAGAGAAGCTGGTGGATAGAAGAGAAGAAGAAGATGAAGAGAAAGAGAATGGAGATAACGGGCCATCTTCGAGTGAAAACACATCTTTTTTAACGGAGCTAAATTTAATTCTTCTACTTTCATTTCTCTCATTATCGTCTGAAGAATGTTACGATTCTGAGGAGGTTAAGGAGACGGAGAATATCAAAGATCACAAAGTTGTGCAAACCGCGTCGAGATCACAGACTAGAAGACAAAATGTAAAGGAATTTAAAGCTCTTGATCGGCAAGCGCCAAGATTACAAACGAAGATAAGAGATTGCAGGTACGGTTTCTCTCTCCCTCTCTCTCTCTCAATAGTCGGAATTATTTATAGGGTAATCACATTTTACACCCCCAAAACATTTAAGAATTCTTATGTTATACCTTCAAAAATTAAACTTTTTTACATTAGACATTATTGCAATAATGGGTCTTTTCTAAACTTTTTACATCAGACATTATTGCAATACGGATCTTTCGTTTGTTTCTGTTGCTCAATTTGTGAAAAATCACCCCCTTTTAGTATGAAATCACTCTCTTGACATTGCCAGAATAAGGTTGCACCTTTAAATGTGAGGTTGCAAAAGAGGGTCTATCTTCTTTTTTGCATTATTTGTTCCCATTTTATGGAAAATGGTTCAATTTGGTTTGCGTCTTAAAAAATAATATACAAAGTTGTTTTTGAAAAGAGTTTTAGAAAAGTTGTTTTGATTGTTTTTTTTTGTTGCGGTATTTGTTTGGTTATATGATTCACAAAATAGTTCTGCAAAATAGTTATATAAAATAATAAAAATAGAAATGTAGAGGTAGTAGAAGTGTGATGGTGGTGGTGTTTTCTAAATTCTAGAAAGATTGTTTCTAAAAACACACAAAAAGTGTCTTTAACTTGTTCTCTTAAATTACCTATTTTTTGTTCTCAATTTTTAAAAAACAAAAACTAAAAATAACTGGCAAAATAATTTTTTTCCTAGAAACTGTCTCCCAAAACAAAAAAATAAAATAAAATTTTGATATACAAATCCATTTTGGGCACCCTCAAAATGGGCCCAGATAATATAAAGAAGAAAATACAACCACCAAGTAGAATATTGTGTTGGTTTTTTTATGGAGTCTAGTTTGTATATGTGATCCGGATGATGATCCGACCCGAAGTAATGTTGTGTGGTTTTTAATGAAAATTTTTCTGCGACTTAGTCCATGGAGTGAAGGCTTGGGCCTATCAGCGCTTATAGACAAGCCTCGTGGGGGTTCGGGGGCAACGCCCCGAGGAAAAAAATTTTGGGCCCGTTATACATCCCAGTGCGTAGGACATATAAACCCTGTTGTTTTGGTGATTAGGGTTAATTATGGATTGTACAGCCGCTCTCTGTATTCAACTCTCTCAATAGTGAAATCCCTGCAGTTTCGTGGACGTAGGCAAATTGCAGAACCACGTAAAATCTGTGTCTTGTTCTTTCTTGTTTCTTATTGCTTTATATTCTTGATTTGTTCTTTAATTGTGTGTGTTTGTTAGTGGATTTAAATCGAGTTAAATCCCAACATATTGCATAACCATGGGTAATCAATCCCCAATCCTCTTTGGTTTTATGTGTCATGTATAGCAAGAAAAATAAAAAGTAGAATGCTGGATGACTATAGATGTCAAGAGAAGGAAAAGAAAACGAAAACTATCAGTTTAGATTATATTTTACAATTATTCAGAATGAAAAAATAAATGAAAAACATAGGATTTTGGTATTTTTCTGAGTTTTCAATGTAAGTGTTTTACCAATCACCTACTTTGCAACTTATTTAAGTATTATGTTCTTGAAAATAAGCAATATTGAGAAATTGATTTTGATGTTTTTTTGTACAGGCACAACAGAAGAATGTGACAACATCATGCAAGAAGCAGCAGAATAGGGTGCAAGAAGTCTCGAGTTCAAAACCTTCCGGGGAAAAAAACCCAGAGAAGATGTCAACAATATCGAGCTCAACCAGCAAAAGGGGTGATTACATAAACTTTTGTCCACCCCTTCTTTGATATAGAAGTAGGAGAGAGAGTTGTATGTTTTTTAGAAGAACACAAACACATTTACAAATATCATTAGCAATAACAAAGTTGATGTATCAAACCAGTCTAGCATTGTTCAGGAATGGAGAAGCTTTATTGACTTCAAAAGCATGGTATGCCAATGCATTAGTCCTTGCAAGTACTTATTAACGTGTGATAGAAATAAGCATTTAATGGTAAAACATTAGCAAGGGATGTTCCATAGGGTATTCTAACCCATCCCTTCTCCTTCTTCCTCTCCCCCTCAACCTTTTCAAAATTTTTTTTTTTCCTGTAACTTGGAATCGTTTCAACCACATGGTATTTGGACTCGTAGCTATAATACAAATCTTAGAGCACGTAATCTCACCCACTAATCATGTAGTAGTTCAGGTACACCTGAGTTATGCGATTAGAGTGACTCAAACTTAAAATATGAGAGTTTATGCATCTCACTTTTTTGTCGAACTATGTGGATAATCAGACACCAATAATGACGAGCAGCCCAACCCCTCCTTCTCTCTCATTCCTCCGATGGAATAGTGCACAAATCCTCAGATTTGACATCTCAACGAAACAATTCTGACAATGGTCTTATCTCCAACAAAGCTCTCTCAAACAATAACACACACACACACTCTCTCTCTCTATATATATGTGTGTGTGTGTTTACATTGTAAAATTTATGTATATTGTCTGGCCTTTTTTTTTTTTTTTTTTTTTGATTGTGTCTAGTTTCAATTTTTTGGTCCGACTCCAATTGGCGAAGGTGAAGGTGGAGGCAATGTATTGCGGAGTCATACTTAGAGCAAAAAACTCATCCCAACTAAAGTTGGTGTCAGAAGGCGAATTGATGTCTTCCGATGGACGAAGTCGGTGCCCACCCCTAGACACCAGAAGGCTCTGTCCATCTAATAGAGACTAATATCTTTCTGACTGACACTAATACACCTATGGAGGACGCATGAACAAAAAATCATCCCAAGTGTCAATACAACCCTACATGTAACAACTATCATGCAACAATGCAGCAGCCATGGACAAACCCATTAGCCCCATGGGTAGGGCATAGCCATATAGGTTATTGTGGCCCGTTAAGTCCTCCAGCCTGCCCATTTTAGGCCCACTAGACTGGCCATTTGCCTGATAAAAATTCAAAAAATAAACAACAAATAATAGGTCAAGCCAAATAAAAATTTGAAAAATTTAGACCTCATGGGTCGGGCCAATAAGTAGCCCACTAAAGATCAATTAAGGCTGATCCAACGCAACCCATTGATCAACCATGGTAAATATTCCGCCACTTTGAGCATAATAATAATAATAACGAATCACCCCAGAAGAAAATAGTATAACGGTTACACACTTGTTATTGGCACATCATTAGACAGTGCCGCCACATTATAATACTGAAACGATATGACCATTACAATGAATATTGTAATACTCCAAATTTTAATATATATATATATATATATATATATATATATATATAACATAGTTTAGGTCAATTTGTGATATTCTTTTTAAAAAGGGATGTTTGTATACTTAAGGAATGAAGAATTGTAGGGTTTCTTTATGGTTTTTTTTACTTTGTATAAATATATATGTAGACAGTCAAAAGAGGGCAAAATAAAAAAATTAAAAAGAAAGGAAGAAACAAAGAAAAAAATTAAAAGTATGGATTAATTATTTCTCTTATGATTGTATATATATATATGAGTCTTACGGTACCTTGTTGATTATTAAAATTATTAGGATGAATTTTAAGTTTATAGTTGTTTAAAATTGATTGAGTTTAATCAATATGTTGAAAAAAGAAAAGAAAAAGAGATTTGATTTGAACTTACCCAATATACAAGCCAGATGATTTCATTGCTGGACGAAGGCAAAGTCTTGAAATTATATAAACCACGCTTTTGACTTTAAAGAACTTTAGTTTGACCTCTATATTCTTTAAAATTTATTTTAATCATTGTTTTACTTAGTAAGTTGGAGGAATAGAATTTTGAAAATTTTATAGCAGTCCCGAAAACTGAAAATTCCTTTTTCAAAGAAATTACACTTTGATCCCAAAAATTTTAAAAATTATGATTTAACCCCAAAACTTTAAGAGCTTTTTATAAACTGCCCAGATTACATCCATACTCTATTAACTTACATTAAAAATATTATTTCTATGTAAAGGATATATAAAGTATATTTCAATTGGTAGAAAGTATAAAAATTAAATATAAAATTGCGAAATAACGAAGTTAGGAATAATGATTGATCGTTTTATGTTATTTTGAATTAGGTGGTGATTGCATTGAGGTTGAGATAGAAGGCTTTGAATTGATTTTTGGGAATCAAGGTGAATAATTTATTACTTTTTTTAGGAGGATTTTCTTTATTCATTGTGTTGGTGTGTGCGTGTGGATTTTCATATATATGAAATATGTGTTGATGTTTGGAGTTGCAATTATATGTGAATTTTTTAAAATTTGTGGGATAATTTTATATCATTACTTTGCTGATAAAATAAAATTTTGCGTACTTTGGGACTAAAATTACAGTTTTTGTGTGTAAAAATCATGTTTATAAGACGGGGACTAGGATTATCAGGTCTAAGTGATAATAAGAGATTTTGTCAGTCATCAGACTAGTGATGACAAGAGACTGAGCCAGTTATCAGACTAGTGATAACAAGAGACGGGATCAATCATCAAGCTAATGATGACAAGAGACTAGACCAGTTACCAGACTAGTTTTAATAAGAGACTGAGTCAGTTATCAGGCTAGTGGTAACAACACATGATTTGATAAATGTATTTGAAACTAAATGTGTGTGTGTGAATGTTTTGGGTTATAAATGTGTTTTCATTTATAAAGTTATTTGTGATCATGAAATTATTTTGTTTAAATGATTACGTGAGAGGGATTGAGATATAATTTGTTGAACTTATGTGTATATCAAAGTTTATTTTCGTATATAAAGTGGAGAATTTATTTTCATACTTCATTAGAGGTGGTTGTTATTCACGAGTCATTGTGTTCATCTAAACATTTAATATTTTTCAAGTGAGGATCAAGATTAGGAGTAAGTCTACAGATAAACAAGTGATTAGAGGACTTGAAAATTTATTTTAATGTAGGTCTTCAGAAATAAAAGTATTTTATAGTTTTGAGACAAATGTTTAATTGTATTAGGAACAATATTGCTGACGTTTAGAGTAGTGGATCTTACGGTTTAATTATTGTTTTGCATAGATTTAGTAATGATGTTAGCAGGTAGGGGCCAGGGTGGGCACGTGCCCCCTCCCCCCCTACCCCCATTTTTTTTTTATTAGTTAAATATATGTATTATATATTTATACATATATATTATGTGTGTCATCTCATTTATATTATGCCTACATTATTTACCCAAAATAATTAAACAATTAAGTCCATTTAAAACAAAAAAAAAATTGAACTCGCTATTATCTATCTAAACTTATTAAAAAAATCAAATATTTGACCTATCACAATCCATCCAAATCTATTAAAAAAATAAAACTTTTAGCCCAACATTAAAAACAAAATTTTTGACCTAACATTAAAAACAAAACTTTTGGTCCACCATCATTAAAAAACAAAATTTTTGGTCCACTTGACTAATGCTTATTTTATCTATCTTTTTTTTTTTTCCTCTTTGTATCACTCACTCCTAGCTAACCACTGCCCACTAGCGAGCCACAAGAAAAAGAGAAGAAATAGATAAAAGATCAACACACGAGAAGTTCAGTTTCTTGAGTTTTTTTTGTCCTTTCTTATACCAACCTATAAAATTATTTTATACATTATATTTACCCCTAAATTTTTAAAAATTTTAATAATGGTTCTAGTTTTTTTTTTTTTTTAATAAATTAGTGGACCACTAACTCTCTAAAATAAATATGTTAGTTTTGGATTGAGTCAATATTTTATTTGTATATAGACGAAAATACAATATTTCTCTTTATCTAACACAATATTTGTTACTTTTTCAAGAATAATTTTTAATTTTCATTTACTATTTTTTTAGTAATAGTAGTCTATAACCTAATAAAATACGAAAATTAATTTACATTTAATTAATATACAAAATTTTATGTACTAAAAAATTTATTTTGTGTCTTTTTGTTAAGATTTTGTTTCGGCTAAATAAAAATTGAATTTACTATTTCACAATAATTTAGGGTTGATTCTTACTTTTTTTTATTCTTGAACTGAATTTTTTTGTATTAATTTCGGCTTAATATTTTTTTATATCAGTTATATTTTACCTCTATCATAGATATTTATAACTCTGCCCCTGATAATATATATATATATATATATATATATATATATTTGAAATTTTTTATGTTAAATGGACTTTATATATCAAATATAATATAATAAATATAAATATGTTACATAGTGTGATTGGTTAGAAGAAAAAAAAATTAGAGTGCATAATTAAAGTGTCCACTCTGAGCAAAATTTCTAGCTCCGTCCCTGGATGTTAGTGATGTTTAGTTAATTTATTTGGTATTCATTAGGTTGGTGGTGGATCACTTTATTATTTATGTTTCGTTGTATTTTATATTTATTATACATATGATTAATTGATTAAGCTTTCGGTGATTAATCCGTCGCCTACCCTGTATGATTCGAGTTGGGGATGTGACAAATATTTTCCCGATCAATCAACGACTCGAGTGCCCGTGCCCAGTCCAGTACCAATCTTTACGTCAAATAACAAGCTATTGGGAGATTCTCTAACAACGAATGCAGTCCACTGCCTGTTGAATCATTTTGCCCCTTCCAAAACATGTCTACAGGCAGCAATCATCACACACTAAATATATCATCTCCCAACAACCTAGCATGATTTTGGTCCTTTTTATGCACACACAGTCCGACAATGATTGAAATAACTTTGGTCCTTTTTGTTTTGTACTAAAACTAAGGTTGATTGCTAGTCTAATTGGATGCTTTAAAGCCAATTTACTTGCTGCTATTCTTCTCCACTCAAACGGTGAATTATAAGTAATCTATATCTCACCTTTGATGTGTAGGATTGTCGGTTTCGATATCTTACCTCTATTTTTTCTAATGAGAGACTTGTAAATTTTTATTATTTA